TCATCTATTCAGTACAAATAGGTGAAAATACCTATTCGAATAGGTGATATCACCTATTTATACCCAATAGGTGATATCATCAATTCGAATAGGAATTCGTAAGAGTGAATACGGCGCGGATCTAAGAAGTCTGATTTTAATTAGATTAAGTGATATCACCTATTTAAATAGGTGATATCACTTGTTGCGAGTAAATACCAAAACGATCGGCCATACATGCATGCAATTTGCCATCTTGTCCTTCCAGTATTGGTTATAGAATTGTTTTTTGATTTTTTTCAGAAAAAGAAATTAAACTTGAAGAACTTACTCTGTACTCCGAACCATATGCAATTCTCCCTCAATATGTAAGAAGAGACGACATTTATAGGAGAAACAAATCAAAAGATGAGTGTACAATTCGACCTCCACCCTTTGAGCAAAGCAGAATACAACAAAGCAATCACGTTAAATATAGGGAAACTGATTCTTCACTATATTTTTCTCTAACTGATGCTACCTATGATTACAGACACGTTGATGGATATAAAATATATGCGCCATCCACAGCACGTACCGAATCTGTTATGTATAATGGTTACTAGACTAAAGTACTTACAACGAACCCCAACTTATATATGCAAGTTTGTCTGTAAAGTTTTATATTCTGTTTAGATGAAAGGAAATGTCATGATATCAGATTGAAAATATTAGAAAATATGAACTCCAAAGCCCCCCAAAAATGCCTATCTTATCCTAAAAATTGGTTTTTGAATATTTTTTATTTAAAAAGTAAAACAACAAATATTATAAAACATTACTAATAAATACAGAAACTTGAGAAATAAAAACATGATACATTGTAATTGTGTATTTTTTTCTACTTATTCAGTTTGTTGCAGCTCTGAGAAAGCTATCAATAAGATATACTGCTAAAAGTGACATCACAAATATAAGTTCGCTGCATTTCATGACAGGTGCCCCGTTGTAATTTCTGATATAATGGATAAATTTCCTCACATTCTCGCTCAGTTCCTGTTTTCTTCCAAAATCATTGTCACTGCTTGAGTCTGTAGAAAGATCCATGGAATCGTTTGCTGAAAATGCTAATGTTACATTTTCAATCTGTGTACTTCCAACAAAATTGTTTGCAGTAGTGCTCAAATTCTGGACATTTTCCAGTAAAAAGCTTGAGGTAGAATTCACAGCTTTTATTTTTTCAGGTAATATGTCTTCAGTTATTGGTTCTTTGACATTGGTCAGTGTTGTGATATCGATATCTTTGTTTATATTGTTCATTGTTGTGAATTCGGCATATTTGTTTACATTGGTCTTTGTTGTGAAATCGGCATATTGCGCAGTATACTTTTTCGTTCTACCTGGTGCTTCTGTTGTGACGTCATGATGGGTGTCAGAAAAACAGTTGGCGCCTGTATAATTGACCGTGGTCCATGTGTCCGTTAGATGTGCCAGGGTTTTGGAAATATACGAGGATACAGTATTGTCCTCCATGTGATTGACACAATTGTTTTCTTGTGATGCATCAACCAGAGCACAACGTCGCTCAACCGCTACCAAATTAACCTCGGCATCTAATAACAAGGAATAAAATATATGCAATCATACTTTAAAAATAACTTTTTTAAAATATCATTTATGTCTTCAATTTTTCAAATAACTTGAATTCATTCATTTGTTTATTTCCTTTATAAAGTTTCAAATTAGTTATAGGCAGAAAGTTTAAGATAGGAGCTTTCATCATATTGTCCTTTATAAAAAATATGATATTTAGTTTGAAATTTTGAACTAAAAATATCAATTTTTTGTAGAGGTTGTAAAATTGATACAACATACACTTTGATATTGCTTACCGGCTTCTACCCTCTGTATCCCTCTAGCCTGTACAATAACGTGGGTCTTTTTACATTTCACCACCAAATCAGCACTGTCATTACGTGGACACGTAATGTGAAGCTTCTGGTTGTCATGGAGACAGTCTGGATTAAAAGTATCAAGGAGGAGAGAATCCAACAAAGTTCGGGAAATTGTACGAAGTCCTTTCACTGTGTAATCTAAATGTACACAGTCCGAGCACATTTGACCTGTAAAACATTAATATAATTTCATTAAAATACCTTTTGAAAATAAATGCATAAATGTTGTTCTATATATGTAGTCAATTAAAATTTGAATACTTTTGAAAAAGAATATATTAAAATTAAGTGATTTAAGCTTGGAATTTTCTATGTATCATGAAGTCGTAGAACTTTGCACTATACAAAAATGAGTCTTAAACTCAGTCTTATATAAAAAAAAATGAAACAATTCGATATCGTGGTAAACCAAAGAAAAAAAATATAAAAATAAAATTAATAAAATAAGCTAAAAAAACAAAACATATACCTTTCACATTTCTAGTTGTTATTCCTATAAGAACACATAAGAGTACGTACATCTTCATCTTTGTCCAAAAACCGAATGAAAATGTCGTAGACTAAAACGGTTAACGTTGTTACATGCTAATTGTTTTTAGGACACCTTATACTGTGACATGTTGTGCAGATACACATTTTTCTGGCTGCTGACATGCATGAATGATCTCGTCACGGTTTGTTAATCTGCCACCCTCCCCCCTCTTCTCACGTGCTGTGTAGAATGACATGTACCATTTTGACGGGACAATGTTTTAAGGTCTACTTTGAGTAGCCCGTGGTCAAACATAACACAATTATTCAAAAGGCACTCGTGATTTATATCTATTATCAAACAGAAAAGTAGTCTTAATTATTTATTTAATGCCTAAAAACAAATTGTTTACAATGTTGACATGACCGTAACAAATATTTAGATTTCTTATGACTGTATGTTTTTGTGTTTGATATCTTAATTGTGCAGATGAGTATTACTCAATTTCACAATTACACAGACTATTTATCATATGGAATGAAGTGCTTTTTAACGACTTTAAGAATTTATTTTTTCAATTATATTTAGACAGATAGAACGTTCAACTTTAGAAAAAATGCAACATTCTGTTTTATATTAATAAAAGGATAATTAAGTTTACACCACTTTTTATATTATTAGGAACATTTTTTTTTTTCTAAAGTGATCTAAGATTTTTCATATTTTCCCTAGAAAGTTCAAACTGAAAAAGAACAGATACTTATTTTCGACAACTAGTATGGAAAATGGAGAGAACGCTCAGGGTAGAAATTGATATTTCAACTAGATAATTATTAAGAAACAACACATTCTGCATTTCCTTAATGAATAACCAAATTCTTACTAGTATTTAAAAAAAATTCTCAAAATAATTAAACCATAATTTTGATTTAACTTTTTAATGCCAAAACTATTTTTAAAAATATTATATCATTGTTTTTGATTGGCTGAAAAATTGGTTTAAATTGTATCATCTGTGACGCTTTTGTCACAATGACTTGCCTCAAAAACGTATCAATCCGCTTTAAATTTTGCAGAATCAAATTATTTAAGATGATTTTTTTGTTTACATTTAATGTTAAAAAATTAAATGATGAATGAATAGCTTTTCAAGTTTTACGGAAAACCGCTTTTTATATATAAACCGCTTCGCTTCGTGGTTTGTAAAAAGCGTAAACTGTTCCAAATCAGGTTACCATATACACTGTACCATATAACTTGGGTAGCTTTCAAATCCATATTCCTTAGATAATAAGCAACACCTTTTTTTGTGTTTATACCTTTTGTGACCCATGGCTATAGGGTTTTGATTGGCAAGCAGTTTGTAAAATCGGGGGAGCTATGAAGATACCGTGGTACACGTGTAACACCAAAAGTTTCATCACAAATCAACATCAGTGATGGTCGAGTATTCAAATATTTGTGTTGGAACTTAATTTAAAGTTTACACTGTACGTTGGTTATTATTGTGAATATAAAATACCATCTTCCCAAGACGTGCACAAAGAAAGAAAGTAATTCCAACTTTAATCTTGCTTTTTTCAGCTTTAAATTTGGCTTTTCCAACTTGTTATATGGAAAATGTAAAGCAATATTTAAGAGATGCATATAGTTCTTGAATAATTATAAAATTGTACAAACGTCGTTATATCATTTTATGAAATTTATGTATAGGTAGATAAACTTTTTAAACATATATTTGTATACATGTATCTTTCGTTTTTGGATTTAGCACTAAGATTGGGAATTTTGGAGAAAAAAAAATTCCGACTCCTATTTAATTTCTTTTCTAGCTAACCAACCTCTAACAAAAGAAACTAAGTTTTCCTTTAAAATAAGCATATCTAATTCTTAAGAAATTTTTACAAGTAGATGATGACCATGTTTTTAATTTATTCATATATTTATTTTGTGTGTGTGTGTGTGTGTTTGATTGAGAAATTGCTATCAAATTTTTAATGAATTGCAAAGCTGATTTAATTAACTTTAATACATTTAATTAATACATTTTTAAAAATATTTTGTATGATCTGACGGGAAACCAAAGTCAATACTCGGTTCCTGATTACTGTGATCAAATTTATGAAATTAATGCTTTGAATTGTTCATAAAAAATATGCGTTGTTACTTTGGTCATTTGATATCCATAGTCCAATAAGGCGTTTGAAAAATTGAAACGTGTTAATTATTTCGAGACTATATTGTTATAGATTATTGAAGATTTTCAAGAGTATAGTGTGTCTCACTTGAAATTTATTTGAATAGCAATTGATTCTGAAAACTTAGTTCAACTTTCATTTAATGATAATTTGGGTCCTACTTCTCAGTTCTGTATTGGTTTTGAAAACAAAGAGCGATTCCTTTTTGTGACCTATATAGTAATGGTTTGTTAATTTTTGTCGATATTTCAAACAGTTAAGTTTGCTTTGAATTTTATTCTTATTTCATTGAGTTTTTTAAATACGACGTAACTAACAATCATTGTCTTAGATCGTTCTGTGTTTTAACTCTGTGTTAATCATCATTGTTGAATAGACAGCTTATTATAACATGATCACGATTTTATAATAAGACATTAGGACAACTTAAGCGAATCAAAATGGTGCCTATATTTGACTGGGCTGTTTTTTATTTCATTATAACATGTAAGTATTATTTTGTTTTCATAAACTTTGACTAAACAATGACATGCAGGCCTATACAAAACATTGCAAATTGTTTTTAGGTTTTGCAAAAGTTTAAATTGACATGTTTTTCACTTAACTTGATGTATTCTGCTGTCAGATTAAATTTATTCAATGATTCAATTTTAAATGAAATACATGGAACTGAACAAAAAATAATAAAAACTAGAGGTACTGTGAGCGATGAGCTCACTAAATGATACCCCCCGCCTCCATATAGTTCATTCGTAACTACTCGGCCATTTCAAGCGGGGATATAAAAAAATAGTCAATGACAGTGTATTTTATCAATATATGCACAAAGATTTGTGGATTTTGATTTCGACCACATTTACATGATATTGAGGTAATACAACGGATTAGAATCAAGTTATAACAACTTACTGGTACGTGTACTTTAAGAGGAAATATGATGCTAAAAAATATGGTATACATTTTTTTTTTTAAACCAGATATTATTAGATGCTGAATCGAAATTTTCATATCAAGATATTCAGCTTTATAATTGAATTCTTCTCAAATCTTTCCTACTATTTCTATATTAAAAGCATGTGAAATCTTTTTCAATATAAAATACTCGTATTTTTAACTGTGTAACAAATGAATTCAACTTATTTTAAAAACGACAAGCTATGAGAAAAAAAAAATCACTTCTGAATTTGAGATATATGACATAAAGGATACATAACACACACACTTCTAAATGTTCTAATAAATGTGTGATGGGTATAGGTATATTGTACCATAGTTAGGTGTGATTTCTTTTGTTAGAAGTGTGGGTTTTCTGTACATAACCCACACTTTTCTATAACTCCGCCCATCGAGTCGGGACAAAAGAACTATTTATAAAACGATTATACACGGTTTTTAAATGAAACAATCATATGGGCTTGTTATATCAAATTTAGGAGAGTAAAATGGAGTAAAAAATTTCAATGTTACATGTATATAGCATTTTGTAATAAATAACAGTTAAAAACTGCCATTAATAATTTAACTTTAGTTAAAAGACGTGAAGAAAAAAAACTTCAGAAATCGCTTGATTTTTTAAACATTTTTTTAAACATGTAATGTAATGACCAGGGTGACGTTAGCTTAGTAGATTCCAATATATCGTTGTTTTGATAACCAACAAAGTAAACACGGTACATACTTGACGTAAAAACAAGTGTACACTACTGTACTAAATTAATCTTTTCGATTGCGCATATAGCCGATCAAAGATCTAATTTTCATTTAATTGAAATACATGTATACACAACCCTACGAAAGCCCAGAAGGCTCATTCGAGATTCGAGATTCGAAATTCGAGATTCGAAATACGAGATTCGAAATTCGAGTTTCGAGATTCAAGATCCAAATTAACCAATCAAAAGGCAGGTTCAACTTTGATTACTCCCCTTTATTATGTTTTACTATCAAGAAATCGTTGAATATATTCATAACAAATGGGTCATTTGCTTAAATGATAATGCAAGAAAAAATGATATATGTATTAAAACGAAATAAAAAGGAATTTTGGGTTCCATTTTGGAAAATATATATAAATTCTTATTTTTCCTCATTAAACAAAACAATAGATACGTATATAGAATATTACATGGTCTTATCGTTGAATTGCGGAATAAGTAGGTCGACATTTTTTTAGAATAAGAACATTGATGAGGGAGAAAATTATTAATGAGGATACATTTCCTTATATTGTGCCAACCCCCCCCCCAATAATTTTGCCGATATGTGAAATACTATAGAAATCATAACTACTATATGCTTGTGCCCCCTCAATAAAAACATCTGATGACTTTTTTTGCTTTGTTTTTGGTTGTCAAGAAATTTTTGGTAGTTGAAAACTGCAAATGCGTGACTGTGCCCCCTTCCCCCCAATGAAATTAGCGTTATGGTTTTACTAGTATATTTGAGTCTTTGACCATAACACAATGGTCAGAGACTAAAATATAAAACAATAACGCCACAGGTCTGCAGCTTAGCTAGACTCATCTACTATTTGATATAAAATAAATTAAATTCCAGTCTGTATTGTATCTATGATTTTTAATTAATTAAAGTTATCAAAGCCTTAGACCAAGATAAGTAATTGAAAACTAAATTTTTATGTATTTCCTCTATTAGGAAACCTACAAAATATTTTTGTGCCCTGAAATAACGTAAATAAGAATATCAACAATTGATTAATAATGATGGCAAATATGTAAACTAACAACAAGAGATCTTGGAAGAAGTCAGAAAATTTTAGCAAATGACAATTGTGAAAGGTAGCTTAAGTTACTTTTATAGATATTGTTTAGTTTCTTTAGACCTAACAGAGATCTACATGAAAATAAAGATCAAGAACTCGATGATCTTGAAGATGAATGAACTTGTGTATTGATTGGTTATGTATCTTGCGAGACCCGAGCGGTTTCCTTTTAAATAATTATCGAATATATATTTATTGTATCCATGCATCGCAAGATTAACAACGAATGTTGATAACCACACATTCCCCCCCCCCTCCCACTTGGACATTCCCGTAATATTTTTCCGATATAATATACTATAGAACAGTAACTTTATGCTTATGTCCATTCAAAAATAACTTCCAATTACTATGATAACCCCTATTCTTCGAGGTTGGGGTGGGAATAGGGGGATTAACAATGATTTTTTTTTAAATTTATTATTCCCTATGGGTCATTATCTTTATTAAGCATGCATGTTTCAGCCATCCGTATTTAAGGGGCTGTCATAAACTTGGTCATTGGCCATGCACTTTCTAATACCGTGTCACAAACACTATCCACCTTGAAACCCGTAGTACTAATTATTACAGAGACGAAGCGTCGATTTTGAAAGTGGGGTGGGGGGAGGGGGGGAGCCAGACAAAAATATTATTTCAAACCTGAAAATAAAAACTGACAGAAAAATTTGTCAAAACCCGAAAATCCTATTTCGGGGCATGAAAGGGGGCGGGGGATCGAACTTCATTTAGTACCTAATTTCTTTTAATACACTACTACTTAAACTTCTTTGACTATACTGCACCACTGTACCAAAGCGTAGGGAGGAGGGGGGCTTGGCAACCGAACATTTTCAATAGTGAAAAAATTATGTTTGGAAAAAGGGGGGATGCATGTACAGTTAATCTAAGTATACTATTATGTCAACAACCCTGTATCCAAATTAGTTAACACGAAATATATTTATATTCTTTATATAAATCTCTTATGACATTTAAGAAGTTATTATAAATTAATTAAGCATATCTTGCAGACCAAAATCCAATATGTCTTTAAATTTCGTTTTGATAATACACATGTATATAAAACTTTTTCTTGCGTTGAAATTTAATCAAATGATCTTCTTGGTATTAAAATACTTAACGATTTCTTAATAGTAAAAAATAATAAAGGGGAATAATTGAATCTCAAATCGCCTTTTGATTGGTTAGTTTGGATCTTGAATCTCGAAACTCGAATTTCGAATCTCGAATTTCGAATCTCGTATTTTGAATCTCGAATCTCGTATTTTGAATCTCGAATCTCGAATGAGCCTTCTGGGCTTTCGTACAACCCCTAACAAACATTTCAATCAACGTGTCACTGTGCATGGCAAAGTTTGTGTCAGGTTAACAAAAATTTAAGTAAACCAAGTTCATAATAAATTTAAACTACTAGTATGTAATTTTGACGATTAAAATTTACGAGAAAAGAAAATCATATCAATTTAACTGATATCATTGAAACCAAACATTATTTTTTCAATTACATAAATCAGACTTTTTAACCGAGCCTAGATATGTTTAATTTTTATGTCGCTTGCGTGGCCCAGTGGTTAAAGCGCCTGCCCTAGAGTCACAAAGTAAGGAGTTGAATCCCACTTTGGGACGTGGAGACCTATAAAGTATAAACAGAGGTCCCGTGTCGCAGAAGGTGTTGACAGGAAGAAGATCCCTCACTGCTGAATGACCCTGAGTGCCGAGTATAGGGAAAAATTTGTAGCTCTCCATCGGCAAGTAGTTGCGTCTCAATATATATGAGCGAAAAATTCTTTGAGAAGAATGTAAAACAACATACAATCAATTTTTGAAAAGTATTGTATACAAATCACTTACCCTATATTTTGTGGACGTGGTCAGAAGGACACGAAGGAGCGTAAAATCATATAAAATCCTAATGCATTTTTGAAACCAAACACTTAATGTTTCAATAATGCAAACCAGTCTGACCGATTCCTAAGCTGACTACATATGAATGATTTTTGAAAACTATGGTACAAGTCATTTACCCCATATCACACTGTTGATTATGTGTAGATACCCGATGGGCGTAGTCATAATGACAACTCGGGAGCTACGCTCCCTCGTGTCATTATGACCACGCCCATCGGGTATCTACACATAACCAACAGTGTGATATGGGGTAACTACTACCTAACTTGTGTACAAAAGACAACCGTTCTAATATACTTGGTAAAAAGTCTAATAATTTGGATGTTTCTACACAGTAAGCATGATACCAGTGACAGAAGGAGCGTGGAGTCACTCTGATGTCCATACAATACGCGGGACTATACTCGCTACCGCCACGTATCATAAATTGATCCGCCCCTCGGAGACAACGAACGTCAACGTTTCACTGAATCTCCTAACGATCAATAATTTAGTGAGTAAATTTTATATTCAACCAAAATTGTTTTAAGGTGAAATGTCAAATTGGCAAAAATTCTGAATTTTAATTTTTTTTTTTTTTTTTTTTTTTTTTTTTTTTTTTTTTTTGTTTTTTTTTTTGTTTAATTACATATATGTAACTTACATGCTATAATCGAATTATAATTCTTCTTATACATGTATCTCATGCATATTAGTACATATGTATTATCTTTCATTCATCTTCTTTTCATAATTTGATAAAAAGAAAATGCCTTTTGCAAAGCATTTTAATTTATTCCCTGATCCACACACTACAGAGTTCAAATTCTTATTTTTTTAATCAAATTTTTTATTTATTTTATATTTTACATGTTTACAGGAAGTAAAGACACAAACGTTGTCCACTACAGGATGGTTGACTATTGTAAGATAATTATATTTCTTTGATTTATTCTCAAAATTTAATCAGATTAATTAAGGATATGATAAATAAAACACCATTAAGAAATCGGTTTTCTTTGAAAAAAATCCATTTTGGATCCTAAAATCACTATTATATAATTTATCATCTGTTCTATTCTGTTATAACAGGAATGGGTTGATAACCGGTTGACATGGAACTCAGGCACGTACCCGGATGTGACACATGTGTACTCACTAGATTCCGAAGTTTGGAAACCAGAACTGTTCATCGATAACTCGTGAGTACATGAAGTTGAAATGAACAGGGTGAAAACTAATCTGGTCTCCTTCCCACAATTCCCTACAATTGAGAGAGTATACGAACGGACTTGTGGGTAGAGAACAGACTACAAGGATATACATGATCATTTCATTCACCTAATATTTGCCTTTTAACTGAATTATTTTTGCATGCTTGAAAATAATTTGTTTTTCAGTCTTGCTGATGTATCAATATTGGTAGACGATAATGTTATGTTTAAAATAAGTCGTGATGGTGTGGTGGAGTGGAAACTACCTCGGATCTTCACTACATTTTGTAACGTTGACGTCACGTATTATCCATTTGATACCCAAAACTGTGTCATAGAAATTACTAGCTGGGCGTACACTATCGATGAGTTGGTCATGAATTCTTCTAGGAGCTCTGTAAACATTGAGGACATCAAGTAAGATTTTTTTTAAAAAAAGGCATTTTCTTGACGTTAATAAGCTAATCAAATATTCCGTTCTTCCTTTAATAATCAGGAAAAGATCTTATTTCTTTATTTATTGCTTTTAAAAATCATTTGATTATGTTTTTCCTTACTACAAAATTATATAACCCCTTCTCTGATAAATCAATTACATGTAAAAGATAATTTATTTAAAACAATCCCAATGTAATTTTTTTATACAGACCACATGGTGAGTGGAGTATTCTCTCGTCATCTGTCGCAGAAAAGGAATTGCAAGAAACAAAAGTAAATGGTGACGTGGAAAAGTATTCACAGTTACACTTCAGCATAAAAATGCAACGGAAGTCCAATTACTACATATCCAGTGTGCTGCTTCCAATTTTATTGACCTCGTATTTAAACAATTTTGTCTTCATTCTTCCGGTTGATTCAGGAGAAAAGGTATACAGTTATAAGTAATAGTAAACACTACTTATTTGTACTGATTGTACGCTTTGTTTTCTCTCCTAACTACATTGTATATATAATTTTGATGACTTTGATGGTTTGTACCTACTAGGTTGGTTTTATACTTACCGTTCTTTTGGCCTTAGCGGTTCTCCTTACTCTGGTCAGTGACAGTATACCATCTACGTCCATCAACACTAGTGTTTTATGTAAGTAGTACTCTTATCAACTCTAATGGTAAAGAAATATAATAATTATGATATTCTAATAATTTTACTGTTGAATTGTTTGACAACCACTATTATATTTTAATAAGCACAATCTATATCAATGTTCTTTCTTTTTCCAGCCTATTACAATTAATAACAAACGCATTGAAAAGTAATACACTGTCAAATGTATCCTTTTCCCCTATAGAATCGCAAAGTTATTAAATATTTTATAACATGTACAGTGATATATATTGAAATTTGTCTTCTACTTATTAATTATTTTAGCTGTCTATCTTGCCGTTACCCTTTGCCTGGGAGTTCTGTGTTGTTTACTGACCGTCCTAGTTATAAGGATTCACTTTAAGGACCCAGATACACCTGTCTCAGCCTGGTGGAAGTCCCTCCACGATAAACTACTTGTGCCTTTTTCTTGTTGGAACGGTTGTCTTTGTCGGTGTAGGAAAGACAAAAACAATGTAAAACCGACAGTTCCCAATAATGAAGTGGTTGTCGTAAATTATGAGGATGGTAAGGATGATACGACTACCGTCGATGAATCTGGTACTTCCGGTGAATTAAAATGGACGGAATTGTCTGCTGTCTTAGATCATTTTTTCCTGATTGTAATGGTTATAATTACAACAATATCATCCATCATATTTATGATATCACTGGCAGCTGGAGGCAAAATCAACACATAACCGAATTCATACCGGTAATAATCATGGCATCCATTTTTTAAGTATAGTTTTGTAGAAATGACTTTAGTGGGGAAAATCTTCTTAAGGCTGATTCCCAGATTTTATTTCCTATAGTACCATTGTCATTTTTTCTACAATGTCATTTTTCGCATCTGCGAAGCTTCTTCAATATAGTCTTTTTGTTCAATCTTTGCAGGGTGAATTTTGATAAATGTTTAAATTGTCATCTGCAAAAGAGTAACTAGAATTGAATATTAAACTCTGTAACCTTTTCGAAATTAGTTTATAATACGTGTCTTTGTAAAACTTCAAATATTTACAGTATTTTCTTTTGTACCTTGATCTCAAATGGAGAAAACTATTATAAGTCCTTGGCCGGCTGTTCAATCCATATTCCCACTGTATACTTCTTTGTATATTATGAAACAGCAATTATGATTATAATTGAATTTATGTATTGAATGCGTTGTTTATGTATTAAATACATTGTATTTACATGTGTGCGATGGTTTATGTAATATACATTGCAGGCTGAGATTTTACGCCGGTGGTATACAAATTCCAGCCAATGATTAGCGGGCTAGGAAAGTGGAAACAGCTGTTCACTTGTATTTTTATTCCCGCGCTGTCCACAGTATTTTTGGAATCAAACATTTGAAACCCGCCACCGCTCCTGATATATTTTTATAAATTGCATAAGGTGGATTTTTGTAATTATCAATATGGCCCAGTTGGTTTTGATGTGTCACCCCTTTTGTTTTGATGTGCCATCTTTTTGCTATATTTTTCTTTAAATGTTTGATCTTATTGTTTTATAGGAATTTTTTCTAGTCATTTTTTGGGGGATCAGACATTTTTCATACTTTACGTAATTTCAATCGGAGCTTGTGAGTCTGATCCCCATTCTTTTGTATAAAGTATTTTCTTTTATATCGTCATTTAAATAAATGACATTATTGTGTGAATTGTTTGAGTTAATCTTTAGCAAACTAAGCAAAAACTAGCTGCGGTGAGCCTGCCGAGCATTTGAAGACATAAATAAAATACTACTTAAACTAACTAGAATAGAATCAATAATTGATGAGCATTGCTGAGGGGAATTGTTATAAAAAGTTATAATCATAACGTGTTGTGAAATGTCTTCTGATATGTTCTTTTAGACATCCATGATTTGAAGTCCACCATCATTTTCACCCTTCTCAATTGAAGATTCACTTCTATTATTTTGTTAGTGACTTAATGAACTTCTAATGAGGCAAACCTTTTACTATAATAATATTGATATCAACATTTAATGGTATTTCAAAAATTGATGGAGAAGTGCATGTTGAATATTCATATACAATGATACAATTGAAACACATGTTCATTTACAAATTTTCTAAATAATTACAATTGACCTACAGTTTGTGCGTTAATGATTTCATATTTAAGTTATGTTTTTTTTTCGATTTGTCAGATGGATCTATGAATTTAAACGAAGGTTTTTCGATGTCAATCTTCGGTATATACTCACTAGAAATTTCAAATAAGCATAATATAATGTGTAAAAATGTATTGTTGATGTGTGAAGTTTCATTCCGCTCGATTTAGCAGAAATCAATTTACTTCATTTTAAAATCAACATGCTTTGTACCTGCGGAGCACACTTAATGCCAATGTAACGTCAAAACATAGAGTCAAGAATTTCTAAAAAAAATACTATCCCCATACATTCCACACATTATAATCCAATGCCCATTCATTAAATCCTTTTTCTTATACTTGACATTAATTGTTTAAAGAATTTCTCTTGTATAATTTCCTTTTTAAGGTTGTTATTTCTTTTATCACTGAACTCTGCTTTCACAGGATAAGCAACTGGAGCGCCTATGTCTTTTTGACGTTAATGTTTAAGTTTTTGATTAGATTTTAAGATAAACCGTTTCTTCACAGATTGTCCTCATCTGATACAGAGTCTCTGTCACTCAAATAGTCTGTATACTATTTGTACACACAGACACAACTTCCTTGTGACATGTTTTTTTATTCCTCCAATATTTTTTTTAGAGTTTATTCAGGATTTTTCCAAAATGGCATCGTTATCTGCTGCTCCGTGACGTTCTAAAACGTCATCGGTTTTGTCGTTTTGTTGAGGACTGCCTATCTTCTCAAGTTGATTTTTTTTTTCAACAAAGCAAAATATTAAAACATAATTTGGAATAAGAATCGATGTAACAATTCAACTTTGAATTTAAGGTTTTTTTCTGTTTTGTTTCATTTTACAAGAAATTGACATCATTTAGTGTATTGTTTGTAACTTACTAAATTTTGCCTTGATCCGAATTTTGCATTGTTTAAAACTTGATAAGTTTTGAATAAATCGTGATATTAAAAAAAATAATAAAAATCATTTGGATTTATTGTTTAAGTATATCTACCAAATTTGGATAACATATGTCAAAAAAAAAAGATACGGCAGAATATATGAACTTTTATACATTCAAAAGTTATTACAATTAATGTATTCTGATGAAAATGCAGTAATTATTACATTTGTCTTAAATATGTAAATTAAATGATGCTGGTGGATTTTTTATGTTCTAGATGTTTCAGATTATTAATTTTCTATGTTAAGTTGGAAAATAACTAAATTAAAGGAATTTTTCCAAAAAAAGTTTTAATTTTTTTTAGTCATGAACTTAAACCTTCTGATGAGTTCGATATAAAAATACAAAAAAATGTGCAAAAAATTTAATCCTATTAATAATATCCGATATATGATCCTTTGTCAACAAATTTGAGGGAACATTGTCAAATTATTATGCATTCATTTATGAAAAAAATATTTTTCATGCACCTTTTCAATTGGAAACAATTTTAATATATTCTGAAAATTTACTGAATGCACAAACCGTATACGGTATAATAGATAACAGTCTAAGGTCACCTTTTTGATTAGAACATCAAAATAATTCCTGAACATGGCGTTCTTTGAAAGTGTCCTCTTGTTCTTTTCTACTTCGTGTATTTTAACGTGCAATGCGGAGACAGGTTTCGTAGACGGTAAAATGAATCTGATTTTAGAAGAATTGAATTCATTAAGGAAGACCTTTTTTGCGCTCGAGAACATGGTTCTTCACCAAAGTGACATTATTGGTGACCTCAAAGAACGAAATATTCTCCAAGAAAGACGAATATCAGAACTAGAAGCTGCCCAACATAGACAAGACAAAGTCTGCGATGAGATGAAAATCCGACTGGAGAAAACAGAATCTAGATTACACAGCCACTTTTCTGTGTCTTCAGTTACTACCAACATTACAACTAAATCAACTGGAGAAGATATCCCTGATAGAAGAATAGTTAGATCAGGTAAGTTCTATTTAAAAGAGATGAAAATTTAAAAATTGTCTTATTTACAGCATTTTCTCTCTTTCTCTCGCTCTTCCCTTTCTTTCTCTCATTGAACAAATTTTTTTCTCTCTCTCTGTTTTTCTTCTCTATATGGACTTTAAACAACATACAAGCAATCAATATATATATATATATATATATATATATATATATATATATATATATATATATATATATATATATATATATATATATCAACAAAAGTCTTTTATTTTTTAACATGCCTCTATCTGTCTCTCAACATGTCTCTTTTTGACACAGGACGTCTTCTGATGAATACCATTAGCAATGGAATGCCTTCGTATGAGGAGGGCGTAATAGCTTTTTATGCCCAGATGTCCTCATCAGAAATAAGTCCAGGCGCTCACCATACGCTTATCTTTGATAAAGTACGCACTAATGTTGGCAACGGATATAATGGCGTCACTGGGGTCTTTACTGCACCAAAAGAGGGAATCTATGCATTTATCTGGGTCATTAGAATGCTTAATGCCGAACATTCCACAGAGTTAATGATTAACAACGATATCTTGGGTGCTACATTTTTGCGCGCCAAAAACAATGACGACGGATCAGTGAGCGGCACCGCTATTGCGCATGTCGCGAGAGGAGATGTTGTTTTTGTGCGCATCCATTCCACGTATGCTGGGGATGGTAACGTCCTTAGCAATCTGCATGGCAAGCCAACATTTTCTGGGTGGTTACTGCACTAGTTTATAAATGGGATCACGGTACTTTGTTTTTCTAAGATAACTTTTTTATTATATTAATATTTCAAATTGTTTTTTTCAGGGGTGTTGGTAAAGAATTGCCATAGCGTGATGTATTAATAAAATGTTTAACGTTAGCTTTAGACCGAAAAAATTGTTTGATTTTGCATTCTGCACAAAGTTAACAAAAATGCTTGTCATTTTAAATCTCTTTAGCAGAAAGAATTCTTCCATTTCTGTTGACATAGATGTTAAATTCACTTCATTAAAAGAACATATACACACCAATCTCTCCATTTGTGTCATTTACTTAATATCCCTTTTATGGGCCACATGATATAAATGTAAATACATCCAAAGTTCTAGAAGCACATTAGGAATTTGCTAGATACATCACATGGCGCTGTGGATAGAGCGTCTGCTCTGAAGTTGCGAAGTAAGGAGTTGATCCTTACGTTGCGGGTTCGAATCGCATTCTGGGCCGTGGAAACCGGTCCTTCGGATGAGACGATATAAACTGAGGTCCCGTATCGCAGTAGGTTCTGGCACGAAAAATGATCCCTCCCTGCTCAATGGCCCTATGTGCTGAATATAAGACAAAATTTGCAGGTCCCCACCGGCAAGTGGTGGCATCTCCATATGATTCAAAAATTTTCGAGGGACGTTAACCAATATATATACGTAAGGACATTAAGCAGACAGCATTTAACATGCTATAATGAATAATGTTCTATCTTTAAAAATTTGTTTCTGTGTTTTTTATACGAAAAAAAAGCCTAACATTCCTAATGTTTTGATGAACGGGCATAAAAAAGATCGAAATTTGACCGCTGGGTGATATGTTGGACCGGTAGATGAGATGTTGGACCGCTTACGTTAAAGAATGGACGGGGCTTAATCATATTTTCATTTGTCGGTGTTCAACAGTGACGGACCTGAGGTTACATTACAAAAAACAGTACAAAATACATGTCTGGCAAAAAAAAAAAATGAAATGAAAGGTATAACAAAACACTAGTATTGACTGTGTTATCGTGCATCATGCGTTTTGTCGACTATCAAACCAAACTGTATGCCTTGGGCCTAACGACCTCAGTCGGACAGTTTGGTTCTTGCGTCCGACAAAACACATATTGTCCTCGAACTCAGTCATTAAATGTATAATACTATACGGATGATTGAGTGTTACTTCATGACCATCAATAAAATAAAATCGGTTAATCATGCATTATATGTATACATTGTTATTGTTGAAAGTCAGAATCCATGATTTCTCTGAATAGTCATTTTTGTTAGATAAGGATTTCTGGTCCGCTACCATACTGTGTGAAAAGATTCCTGGCCGATCAGAAACCTTTAGGCCTTTAACCATCAAAAATGCTGAATATTATGTAACTTTTGAGCCTGAATTTTAGTTTATCTGAATATTGCAGAATTTCAATCAATAAACATGATTTGGGACTGAAGTGTCTGTTTGAAATGTTCTCTTTCTGAAACAATCAATCGAAACACACCTATTAGCAGGCTGGCAGATGACGTCATCATTTATGATAAGTTGTATGGTTCTTTTCACAATAGTAGTGACCTTGAAGTCTTCAAAGAAACTTATTTCTTCTTCCATAAATGTGTTCAATAGTTATCATCTATGACTACGAGTAGTTTGTTTGGAATTAGCAATATAAAAGATATATATTTAATTAATCAGTTTAATTATTTTAATACATAATGTGTTAAAAGAATGCAAAAACACAATGAAGTTGTGAACACAGAACTTTACCTCTGGCTATCAATTTTCCATGAAACGTGTCATCATTTGTTTTTTAACAAAACTGAAATAATAAATCATCCTGTTAGTAATATATTAAATCGTAATGTGGACAGAAAAGCTTAACAAAACATAAACATTTAAAACATCTAAAAAATTATAATCCTTTTAGTATAAAGGAGTGCACCGTGTCATAAATTTCGAGGGAAAATAGTCCTATACTTTAAAGAATTATCAACAAATATTATTATCAAGTCCGTTGTCGACTAGTAATATAATATTTTTAAAATTCTATTGTATAAACAAATCGTAGTCGTTATATACACGTAAAATTGCAACACATGTTCGTCATATGATACTTAAAATATATATTGAGGAGAGTGTCAATTTGATTTCGTTAACAGATAACGGTCAAAAGCTACCTTTTGGCTATAAACGCCAGAGTGATAATTTTTGCATTCAACATGGCGTTCTCTGAAGATCTACTCTGGTTACTCTTGACTTCATGTTTTTTCACATCCAACGCAGAGACAGGATTTGAAGAAAGTAAAATAAATTCGCTTTCGGAAGAATTGATTTCCTTAAGGAAGACTGTTTTAGCCCTAAAGAACATCGTTCATCGCCAAACTGACCTCATTGGTGACCTCAAAGAACGAAGTATTCTGCAAGAAAAACGCATAACAGAACTAGAAGCTGTCCAACACAAGCGAGACAAAGTCTGCGAGGAGATGAAAATCCGACTGGAGAAAACAGAAAATAGATTAAACAGACACTTTTCTTCTTCTTCGAACACCAAGAACACCACAATTAAATTAATTGGGAAAGAAAACCATAAAGGGAGAATAGTGAGATCAAGTAAGTTATGTTTATTTTTTATAGAATGGCATGAACATCCAAAAAAATATATCGCCTATCAGATCTAGATGAAAATTCAGAAATTAAAACAATTCTTCCTGACATTTAATAAGCCTTTTAATGCCAACCGTAAACGAATTTTCAGGGGTAAATAGTTTTTGTCCTGTCTGTCTGTTTGTCCTCAAAAACTTTAACCTTGCCAATAACTTTTGAGTGGGTGGGGCTATGGCTTTTACCTTTCTTTGGGTACCACCAAATTTGACCTCTGGACCTTGGAGTTTGACCTACTTTTATTAAAAAAAGAACTTTATCCTTTGCCATAACTTTTGAACAGTTAAAACTAGGGTTTTCATACGTTACATGTGTATTCATTGTGACAAGACCTTTCATTGAGTATAAATAGTAGATTTCCTGTTATCCTTGGACATTCAGTAAGGCGACGCATTCTCGTTACATTCAGCGTCTGAAATTTACACATCGTTTCTTCACTGTTGAAATACTAGTATACATTTGATAAAAATTCGGGCGAATGTCAACGAGTGTAGCAAGTATCCAAAAACAGCTTTCTATGGAAAAGAGGTGGGGCTAAAGCCATCTCATCGTTGTCAACAATATTTTAAAGTTGTTGATGTTATTAATTTCTTAACCTATGAGAATCTATTGCCATTTGAGAGACGCTAATTACGTAGGTCGAGAATGCCACGCCTTAATGAAAGTCCAAGGATGACAGAAAATTGTATTGTTTTTTTTTAACTTTTGACCTTAGAGTTTGACCAAATTTTTAAAAACTTTAACTTTGGCCATAACATTTGATCAGTTAGAACTAGGACTTTCATAGAAGACCTTCCTTTGGATACCAACAATCCTGACATTGACCTTTAGAGTTTGGCATGCATTTTAGAAGATTCAACCCTCTCCATAAGCTGCCATCAGTGTTTTACAAACACATTTTGTTGACAGGGAATCTGCAGAAGAATACAAGGAACAGTGGAAAGCCTCCGTATGAAAAAGGCGTCATCGCTTTTTATGCCCAGATGTCCTATATAGGTGTTCGTCCTGGCGTTCGCCATACCCTCATCTTTGATAAAGTACGCACTAATGTTGGCAACGGATATAATGGTTTCACTGGGGTCTTTACAGCACCAAAAGAGGGAATTTACGCATTTATCTGGGTTGTTAGACTGGTTACAGCCGCGCGCTCAACTGAATTAATGGTTAACAACGAGATTTTAGGGGCTACATTTTTGCGCGCCAAAAATGGTGACGACGGATCAGTGAGCGGTACTGCTATTGTGCATGTCGCGAAAGGAGATGTTGTATTCGTGCGCATCCATTCTAAGTACGCTGGTGATGGCAACATCCATAGTAATCTGCATGGCAAGCCAACATTTTCCGGGTGGTTACTGCACTAGATTGTTGTCACGATAATTTGCTTGTTGTGACTAAACTTTTAATAAACTTCAATATTCTTAATTTTTATTAACATTCAATTCAGAATATATATTTCAGGGTTGGCGGAAGAGGTTGAAGAATTGGTCTTTGTTTTTGTCTATCTGAAGGACACATAAGTGTTATCTACTTAGCAATGAATTTAATATTTGTATATTGGGTGAAGCAATTATTGATTTAACATTAAACTCTGAAATAAACAAAATTAAAAAAAAAAATTTTTACTCTTTATATTTGTGAAAGGAGTTCTCTAGGATTTCTTTGGTGACATAAGTCCTCAGTTTAATACAATAAAATAGAATATGCATACAGGTATCAATCTTTCCCAACGTTTGTCACTGTGTACTCAATGTTATCACTGTTATGTTATGGGTCATATAATGCTGCCAGATTTTTGTGGCAAATATTGCTAACTGCAGACCTGCCTACCCTTTTGTTGCAGAGGTGTAAGGGTGTAACTTGTCTCCTAATTTATTTATCATTGTGATTTTACAAAATCTAAATTAAACTCTATGTTGTACAGTATAACATTAAAATAAAATGGCAAAAATTTTTCGAACCATTTATTGATGTCAGTCATTTGTACGATGCATACATTGTTTGTTTTCTGGGAAGACAATGTTTTTAATCGGCTGTAAAGGGAAACCCAAAATATGTGTCCGATCAAAAAGTAAAATGGAAGTTGCATAATGTCATTACTTAGTAAAATTTCTGTGAAAGTCTCATTAAATTCCAAGCGATGGATACCCCAGAGAGTAACGGACGGACACTCTGATCACTATATACACCCCTTGTTTTCAACCGGGAGCTATTATAAAAGTTATGGAAATGTGTCATTTACTTTGTCTACTCCCCTATTAAAGATGCACTTCAATCATTTTTGAAATGCCTCAATGGACTTCCAATGGCACAAACTGATTTTTCTTTTGTGATAATATTATCAAACCTTAATGATATTTCAAAATACTACCGAGGAAATGCATATGAATATTTAAGTAAATGTACAATGATACAGTTAAAAACAGATTCATTTACAACTGTTCTAAATAACTGGTCCTACAGTTTGTGCGCTAATGATTTCATATTTTTTTTATTTGTCATGTGACGAGATTCAACAGTTATTGCAATTTTTTCTGATGAAAAAACAACATTACATTTGTCGTATCGTTTAGTGAAAATTATTTATAATGATGCTGGGGAATTTTATGTTATCGATGTTTCAGATTACTAGTATTCATATGTTTAGTTGGAAAATAGCAAAATTAATGGAATTCTTCCATATTTTTTGATATCAAATTTATATTAAACTGTAAATATAAAGTAATTATATGACAGTAAAACAGTAAATAATAAAAACTGTTTTAAATTTAAATGTGTTGTAAACGTTCATGACATATGCATGGATGTACAAAACAGTATCGATTCGAAGTCACGCTTTAGCCTACATTTGTACAATGTGTTTTACAAAGATGCTGTCGACTGCTTTGAAATTTTTTAGTTTATTTTTTGTTTTTAATTTAAATAGTCTTGGTTTTAAGTCGGGAAGAATAAATCATAATGCTTGTAAATGGTTTGAAGATTCCTAAATTATTTCATGTGCATTCAACAATTATCCCAGTCTGCAATAATAATTAAACATAACTGTGTGGCATGAAATTAATTTTAAAAAATGAACCTGTATTAACGAGATTAATATAGTTTCCTGTTGGAAGTGTACAATTTTAATTTGAACGATGCAGCTTAGGGGGTGTCAATATTTACATGTGAATTTCTGACATATGATACTTTGTCGGGGGGGGGGGGTTGAAAAGTCGTACATTTTTGAGGGGGAACGTGTCATTCCATTATTGATTAATAATGATTATTGAATTTACGTAGTAAAAACTACTTTTTAAACACGTTATCAATTGGCAACAATATAATATTGAACTTTACTGAATGAATTAACCGTAATCGTTATAACAGATAACGGTCAAATGTCAGATTTCTGATAAGAACGTCTAAATAATTTCATTGAACATGGCGGTCTTTGAAAGTTTCCTCTTGTTCTTCGCTACAACGTGTATTTTCATGTGCGACGCGGAGACAGGTTTGGAAGAAAGTAAAATGAATCTGATTTTAGAAGAATTGACTTCATTAAGGAAGACTGTTTTTGCGCTCGAGAACATGGTTCATCACCAAAGTGACCTTATTGATGACCTCAAAGAACGAAATATTATCCAAGAAAGACGAATATCAGAACTAGAAGCTGCCCAACATAGACAAGACAAAGTCTGTGATGAGATGAAAATCCACCTGGAGAAAACAGAATCTAGATTACACAGCCACTTTTCTGTGTCTTCAGGTCCTACCAACATCACAACTAAATCAACTGGAGAAGATATTCCTGAAAAAAGAATTATTAGATCAGGTAAGTTTTACTTTAAAGAGATGGAATTTAAAAAAAAATGTTATCTGTTGCACTCTCTCTCTCTCATTGAACAAGTTTCTCCCTTTCTCTTCTCGAGAGGGACGTTAAACGACATACAAACAATCGCTTTCTCTCTCAACAAAAGTCTCTCTCTTTTAATTATATAATAATCCTCTATCTATCTCTCAACATGTCTCTTTTTTGACACAGGACGTCTACTGATGAATACTAGGAGCAGTGGGATGCCTCCGTGTGAGGAGGGAGTCATCGCATTTTATGCACAGATGTCCTCATCAGAAGTTAGTCCCAGCACTCACCATACGCTCATCTTCGATAAAGTACGCACTAATGTTGGCAACGGATATAATGGAATCACAGGGGTCTTTACTGCACCAAAAGAGGGAATCTATGCATTTATCTGGGTCATTAGAATGCATGAGGCCGAACATTCAACAGAGTTAATGATTAACAACGATATCTTGGGTGCTACATTTCTGCGCGCCAAAACCGGTGACGACGGATCAGTGAGCGGCACCGCTATTGCGCATGTCGCAAAAGGAGATGTTGTATTTGTGCGCATCCATTCCACGTATGCTGGGGATGGCGACGTCCTTAGTAATGTACATGGCATGCCAACATTTTCCGGGTGGTTACTGCACTAGTTTGTAAATTTATTATTTTTTTTGTTAATTTTAATATTTCAAAATGTCTTTCTTTTCTTTTCTGTTTTTTTTGGGGGGGGGGGGGGGTATGAAATTGCATTAGGATGAGGTATAAATTTAGCAAAATTTGAACGTTTGCTTTAAATCCGGGATATTGTTGAGTTTGCATACTGCACATAGCTAACAAAAATTCATATAATTTTCGATCTCTTCCGTAGAAAAAATTCTTTGGTTCCTAGTTGGCATGTATCTTTGATTCACTCCATTAAAGGAACATTTACATACCAGCCTCTCCATTTTTTTTTTTTTTTTTTTTTACATTTATAGACAACATTTAACAAGGGTAAAGTGAATAATACTATACAGATTATTAAGTGTAGATTCATGATCATCAATGAAATGGATTCAGCGAAACATGTATAATGTGCATACATTGTAATCGTTGAAAGTCAGAATCCATAATTTCTCTGAATAGTTTTGATTTCTCTGAATAGTTTATCTTTGCCAGCCAAGATTTTTTGATTTGCTATCCTCCTTCTGCGTGAAGAGATTCGCCGATCAGAAAATCTTTTCAACTTTTGAGCCGACATTTTCGCTAATCCAAGTACTGTAGAAGTACATTTTTCCGCATGGGATTAATTTACACTATGTACGCGATCACAAATTTTCCGCGGAAATTTGTCCAAGCGTACTTAATATAAATGTAAGGCATTTAGTGACAGTCTAAGAAATCCGCGTAACTTTCTACCCGCGGATTTACCAGAAATTTAGATTCCGCGGAATTATTACCCCGTGGAAAAAAGTACGTCTACAGTATTGCAAAATTTAAATTAATAAACCTGACTTTTGGACTTATGTTTTATTTGTGTCACGGTACGAAATGTCCTCTTTCTAAAACAATCAGCCGAAACACTTCTTTGCGGCAGACCGGCAGATGACGTCATCATATTATAATTGGCATGATTCTTTCACATACCAGAAACCTTTAAGTCCTCAAAGACATAAACATTGTAGTTCTTCCATAAATGTAATCAATGCTTATCAACCACTTTATGAACTACTGGTGGACTTTTGCGATAAATGCTGACTTTTAAAATCGACGGCTTACTTTTACACTAAAAATATACGAAAGCTAATTTGTGATTTATTTGATTTTTTCATTAAAAGGAAACACTATCTGTCATTGATAAATAATGTAATATCTCTTGTGTTGAGTGCATACCGGTAAATCATACTGCTACCATTAACACCACACCTATGACCACTAGAGAGGTTTTCTAAAGTTATCTTATCCTCAATTCCGTACCTCGTACATAAAACAAGTTTAAATGTCAAAGTGAGCCATCGACTGTAAAAGTCAGTACTTCTCGCAACAGTACACTAATTTATTCGGAACAATAAATACAAAATACAATGTATATATTTAATCAGTTTGATTTTATACATAATTTGCTTAAAGAGTGCAAAAGCACAATATCAAATTCGTCAAAGGTTCTGAAACCTGAAATTTTCTGAAACCTTAAAAATCGAGTATTTTAAAGAACTGAACAAAATTTGCATGTGTCATGCTAAAATTCTGCTTTTGTTAATTTTCCCCTTTTTCCGTCGCGGTGTAACTGTAACAAAAAAGCAAATGATTTTGGATGTTTTTAAATTTGTTCAAGAGATTCCTTGGGGGTTTTTTGTGACAAAAACGTTGAATATTTTACAATAAAATATCATATGCATATCAGTATTTCCTATGTGTTACAAGTATTTAATTTATTTTAAAGAATCACTGACTCTCTAGGTTGTTGGGTGGACAAGGGTCATCACAGATAGTTGACAACGTAGGATAATTTGCATAACGGGCGAATAAACTATCCCAAGTTTTCAACTGTTGATGTCCTTGGCATACCAAACAAACTAGACACTGATCTCTTATATTTACTTTATTTATGGAATTTTAACATGTTTAAGCCACGGTTGTAATTTGTCTGTTTAATCGCCCCGAACGAAGTCGTGGGACAAATTGCTATTATACGCATGATTGAGTTTCTGATTGACAATATCTATGTAGCTTTTGGAAACCGGGTCTTCTAACAATCTATTGGAATCACCTTGGCTACCAATTGCGCTCCGTTATTAGCAGGTCTATTTTTGTGTTTATATGAAGCAGAATTTGTGCAAAATCTTACGCATGAAAAGAAGAAGACACTTGCTGTGGCCTTCAACCCGACAGTTAGATATATTGAGACGTATTGTCAATTAACAATGGTAATTTTCATCCTTTTGTCATACGATATATCCCGGTGAGCTTGAGATAAAAGATAATACAGAGTCTGACACATCTGTTTCATATTTGGATATTTAACTTGAAAAAGAGTAAATGGTAATCTAACAACCAAGCTCTATGATAAACATGATGACTAACTTTTCTATCTTCAACTTCCCTTACTTATGCAGCGATATACCTTCATCATCTGCGTACGGAGTTTATATATCTCAGTTGATTCGATACGCAAGAGCATGTTCTACGTATGAACAATTTCTAAAACGAGGTACCAAGGGTAAATTATTGACAAACAAATTAATGAAACAAGAATATCAGCAGTCTCGTTTAAAGTCTTCATTTCGTAAGTTCAATGGCCGATACAATGACCTTGTCAGCAAATACAAATTATTTGACGACGGATTTTTCCGTTATTTCCCGACATGACAAGGAGCGCACAGCGGGTTTGATCGGTCGTCAGGGGATGCTCACTCCTCCATGGCACCTGATCCCACCTCTGATGTTTTGAAGGCCCGTGCTTGCTCTGCTCCTATTTTGTATTCTTTTCTGGGCTTTGATATTGAATACTGTTCGTTATCACCATATCCTTCATAACAATCAATCTATGTCAGTTAACCTGATTTCTTATCACAGGAAAAAGAAAATCCTAAAAATATACTGGCATCTCTTCGCGTATTTTATAGAGTCATCAAGCAAAAAAGTTTGCATATTCAAGCCTTTCAAAATAAGATACTGAAATTCTTATTAATTATTTTATTTATTTAGACAATGTATGGGAATTATAAGGGGCTTCTATTCAGCGTTATTGATTGCATCGCTAATAATAGCAAAGTATTTCCTTGCAATTTTTTTTCAAATTACTTTAGATCAGCTCGGGGTAAATTGAGCCTCTAATATAGATCTACAAGAAACGTGATAATTTAATTCTATTTTCTTCACCAAATTTAGAATTCTATATTACACGATAAGATAATACATGCATGTCCTTACATTTGAGTTCAATCACCGAAATGGCACCGATAAAGTTAGCACATGTGCATGAAGTTGTCTTTTTTATTTTGTTGCTTGCTTTTTCTTACTGCCGCGCTTCAAATGCCAATGAAGATGCAAACGTGCAATCTCAAATTACCATAATGCAAACAACTTTGACCGTTCTTCAAGAAACAGTTGAACGTCAAAACATCCGCATCAGTAAGCTTGAGAAAGACAATAGAATACAGGAAGAACATATCAATGAACTGTTGATGGTGATTCAGAACTGTGACAAAAGTGACATTAAGGAAAACAATGACGTAAATTCTGTGAACGCGTCTACACCTACATCGATGAAAGATAACCATCAAAATCGTCAAATGAGGCGGACAGAAAAGAATTCTTTGATAAGTAAATATTAACTTTTTTTAAAATTCTTGATCTTTTTACATATGCATGTGCTCGTTATTTTCGAATATTTCAATCTAAAACAGTTTTCCTGTTTGATTTATGCATTCATATTTATACTGGATTAATGGGTACCCTACAAGAATTCTATTAGAATGAAAAAAGTGTTTAGGATTAAAATCATACCAAGAATTGCTCTAGAAAAATAAAGGTAAAAAGTGAATGATATATACTTCACGCAAAGAAATACCTAGTTATTTAACTAGTGTGCCTCGTAAAGCGTTCGTCGTGATAAGCAATCATTCTGAGTAGGTGTCTCGTGGAGCGGCGGTCGTATTGATACTAGATAACTTAGTGAAAGTTACTTATAAATTCTAGATTTACTAATGTTATCTAGTAAATATACCCAATACCTAGTAAAACTACGTTTGAGGTAGTGATTGTGTGGACAGTAAATTTACTAGTCTTTTTAGTGACTTTAACTAGTTTTTTTCAGTGTTCTGTTGCAGCAGACGGGAATTAGCAATAAACGTAGAAAGATTACTTTAAAATTTTCTTTTGGATTCAACTGACACAAGCTTGAAACTATAAAGTTTTTGTTTTGTTCGGCTCTTTAAAAATATTTTTATTCCATATTTGGTACCCTGGTAATCCAGCCTTTATTCACAGTCCCCCCTTTTAAAAAAAACTCCAACGTCACCTTTCAGTTTTAAATAAATTTAACATACCGGTCGATGGGAGTATGATTCAATGAGTTTGATTCCGTACCTATATTGAATTCTAAAACTACGCTAACATCTCAACAACTAACGATATATTGCAGTGACCAGTATATGTTTAACCAATCTCCTACCCTTGCTCTTCACCAGAAGATTATATGTGGTAAAAAAGAAAGTTACTTCAAAGGACTTTCAAAGGAAAATGTAAAAATATCAAAACTGTAAAACATCAAAGGAAGTAAATCATTTGACTTTATATTACGCTTTATACTACCATTGCTCTGGTAAATTAAGTCTTTTTGACATTATGGGCAACTCCTTCCTCAAGAAAATGAAATTACTTTTAAGATTGCTCATCTACCAAATTACTTTTATATAAAATCATTTTGATTCTAAATGATTGGAATTTACTCAGAGATATCGTTTATCTAAGGTTTGTTTTTTTTTTTGTAAAAATGTTTGTTTTTGTTTTTTTTTTATCAGCGTTATCTTTCACATATCTTGATATAGGTGTCAATATAAATGTTTTGGTTAAGACAATTTATCCTTTGTGTACATTAACCATATTTTTTCTTCACATGTTCAAAATAGATACTAAATGTGTAATGTTATGATGTTCTCCAAGCATCTTTTTTTATTTTTATTTTAGGACGTCTTCTTACGCCACCCTCAAGTGCACCTCCTCCATCGCATGATCAGATTGCTTTTTACGCCAGGATGTCAGTTACGGAAAAAGCCCCAGGAGGACACCATATCCTTGTTTTCGATAATGTAGTCACAAATGTTGGGCATGGATATAATGGGGTTGACGGTATTTTTACTGCCCCAAAAGATGGACTGTATGTTTTTATTTGGGTTATAAGATTATATGAAGCTCAACATTCTTCGCAACTCATGATCAACAATGTTGAGCACGGATCAACTTACCTACGCTCTATACATAATGATGATCAATCTGTCAGTGGAAACGTTGTCGCGCAGGTCAACAAAGGAGACGTTGTGTTTGTCCGTGTCTATCCTTATAATGGATATACTGGTAGCGGAGATATTCTCAGCAATGAACATGGAAAACCGTCATTTTCAGGGTGGCTTCTTCAATAGACTCTGATTGGTCTTTGAAAAACATTTTAAAATTACTATCAATTTCAGTTCAGTGTAAAGTTTTGCATTACCTCACGATTTTTTTGACAGATGCATCCAGCGTAAACAATTCACGTGATCGGTCAACTCATATTATCAACATTGACACAAAAATAGTCTGTTGTACGAGCAACCAATCAGCGATTAGAAAAAAGTTCCAGTCGTAAAGCTTGCGGCTGTCAAACTAGATCGTGACGTAACGTACAACCTCACACTGCAATCTATAGTATTTTGATAAATATACAATTATAAAGCCTTTTCTCAAGGTTTGATTCAGAGGCAGATCCAGGAATTGAAGTTAGGGGGCGCAAAATTTAGACCGGGGGGCTGGGTGCTGCCTTGAGGCCCCCAGTGGAGGTCCAGGGGGATTCCAGAGGTCATGCTCATGGATTCTAGAGGTTTTAGAGGGTAAAAATGAGGTTTACCAAGTAGACATTTAACATTTTCTCGACAAAACTATGTTTTATGCTATTAAACTTTGACAATTTTAGGGGGGCGCGCGCACCGGGTGCGCCCCCCCCCTTAAATCCGCCACTGTGATTGCTTCAGGTCACATTTAATTTTTGCTATGATACTGTGATATATGTTAGCTCAACTGAGCTGAAGGTTCAGGTGAACTTTTTCTGATCAACATTTGTCCTTCGTTGTAGTTATTGTCATCGGCATTGTCGTTTTCGAAAAACTTTTCTTTCCAGAACGAATGGTCAATACTTCAACCATACTTGGCTAAAAGTATTCTTTTGTTACTGAAATTGAAGTTTGCTTAAATGAAAATTAATGTCTCTTCCAAGGGAAGATATTTGAAAATTAATTTAAATCGGATTGGGTGATTTAAAAAAATAAAAAAAACAGATGAATATGTGCAAATTTTGCTCCTAGGGTGTATTTTTGCGCATATAAACGAATGCTTTTATGAACTGCACATGAGTAGTTTTGCTCTTTGTGCAAAAATAACAACTTTCTGCACTCTTTCACGTCAAACTCGAAGGTCAAGGACAAAAGGTTAAAATTGTTAGTATCCAAAGAAAGGCCTTCTCACAAGAAACAAACATGTATAATACGAAGGCCCTAGATAATATTACCATATATTATACCTCTGCACAATAAGCAGAAAGCAGCAGCTCATCAAATTTTGTTCCAAACTTCATCTGGATCGATTTTTAGACGGGGTTACGTGAAAGAGTGCAGAAATTGTTTTGATCGAATTACAAACATTCTGAATGAAACTGAAGAAAGGTTTTTCAGGGAGACACTCGGTGTTCTCGGGTTCAGGTAACAGATCAGGATTACATGTATGTGAAGCTTCTATGAAGAATTTGTCTTTTCTTTTCTATTTTCTCTCTATTTCATTAAAATTCCTTCTTGTTTTTAGCAGAAAATTTCTAATCAGAATCTTCGATTTTCTGTTTTCTCCATTCAGACGAGACATTTCACATTTCCACTGTTTCACTACATTTCACAGCTTATCTGCATGAATTACTTTTCTATCTGGCACCTATCGAGAAATGTTCCTTTTATATGGTGTAAGGAAAAACTGATTTACTGTTATTATGTTGAATGTGTACTCATGTTCCTTTTTCTGTCAACTATACACTGTTATTTTCTGAAGACTACAGACTGTGCGTGTTAAAAATTAAAGCGTACACATGCACTTAAGTAATTTTGTTTTTTTTTTGTTTTACTCCCCTTTGAGAATTCACTTGTCGGCGGGGGTCTGCAATTTTTTTTTTCAAATTAATTTTTAGTTTAGATTGGGGTCAGTTAAGATTCTTTTACGTACACCGTGATTGTCTCCATATACTTCACTTACTTGTAATTGTGTTAGGCGATAAGATAAGGTGTCCTCACATCTAAGTTCAAGCACAGGAAAATGGCACCGGTAAAGTTTAAACATGTATATGAAGTTGCCTTTTGTTTTGTTTTGTTTGCTTTTTCTTACTGTTGCGCTTCAAACGCGAAAGGAGATTCAAACCTACAATCTCAAATGACTAAAATGCAAAAAACTTTATCCATTCTTCAAGAAACAGTTGAACGTCAAAACATCCGCATCAGTAAACTTGAGAAAGACAATAGAAGACAGGAAGAACATATCAAAGAACTGTTGTCGGTGATTCAGGACTGTGACAATAGTGACATTAAGGAAAACAATGACGTAAACTCTGTGAACGAGTCTACAAATAAGTCGATAACGGAAAATCATCAAAATCGTCAGAGGAGGGGAACAGAAAAGAATCCGTTGATAAGTAAATAATATTAATTGCCTTTATTTTGTGGAATCAAAATCTGTAACGCGTACACACTATTTTGTAATCTACCTGCAAGGATTTAAAACAGTTGCATCTAATGTTCTTTTTCAAACACCTTTTTTTATTTTATCTTTCAGAACGCCTTCTTATCCCAGCCTCAAGCTCCCCTTCTCCATCGCAAGATCATGTTGCTTTTTAGGCCAGGATGTCAGCTACGGAAAAAGTTCCCAGTGGACACCATATCCTTGTCTTCGACAACGTGGTCACCAATATTGGGAATGGATACAATGGAGTTGACGGTATCTTTACTGCCCCAAAAGATGGAGTTTACGTTTTTATTTGGGTTATAAGATTATATGAAGCTCAACATTCTACGCAACTCATGATCAACAATGTTGAGTTTGGATCAACTCACCTACGCGCTATGAATAATGATGATGGATCTGTGAGCGGAAACGTTGTTGCGCATGTCAACAAAGGGGATGTTGTGTTCGTCCGTGTGTATCCTTATAATGGATACACTGGTAGCGGCGATATCATCAGCAATATACATGGAAAACCGTCATTTTCCGGGTGGTTTCTCCAACAGACTCTGACTGATTTTTAAACATATCATAAAAATACAATTATTAAGCCTTCGTTCTCAAGTTTTGATCGAGTTAAGGTCACATTTAAAACTTGTTAAAATACTGTGATATATTTTAGCTCATCCGCTCTGAAGATCTAAGTGCTCTTTTTTTTGTCCGTTCAATGTCGTTGGCATCAGCATTCTTGTTTTTGCCAATTTTTTTCTTTTTTTCCAAAACCAATGGTCAAAACATCAACCATACTTTGCTACAAGTATTCTTGTATGACGGAAATTGAAGTTTATTCAAATGAAAATCAATGCCCCAAGGGGAGATTGTTAAGAATTAATGTAAACCGGGTTGGGTCGTTAAAAACTATGTGGTTGTGAAACACTTATGCTACATTATAGCAACTTATAGCGAGGGTTGAAGTTTTCAAATGCCAGTCAATCTACAAGGTAAAGGTCAAAAGGTAAAAATAAATGGTATCCAAAGGAGGATCTTATCACATAAAACTGTGAAATATAAAATCCATAGTACTTAATGTTAAAAAGTTATGGCTAAGGTTAAAGGTTTTTCAAACTTCAAGGTTAATAGTTGAAAAAATCATTCCCTTTGAAAGGTCTCGTCACAATGAATACACATGTTAAATATGAAAGCCCTCGCAACAATGATGTAAAAGTTTGGAATTTTTTTATAAAAGTGGGTCAAACTCAAAGGTCAAGAGGTCAAATTTGGCAGTATCAAACGAAAGGTCTTGTCACAAGGAATATACATCTTAAATATCAAAGCCATAGTCTCACCCACCAAAAAGTTATTGGCAAGGTTCAAGTTTTTGCAAACAGACAGACGAACGGACGGGGGAAAACTATTTACTTTCAAATCCTCTGTTGGGGGGGGGGGGGGGGGAGTATCGGTCACGGTAGCCTAGTGGTAGAGCGTTTCCTTCGAGATCGGGAGGCACGGGTTCAATTCTCGTTCGCGTCAAACCTCAGACGTTAACATAAGGTAGTGACTGTTCCTTCGCCAAGCGCAAGCGCTCGGTATTAGAAGTGAAAGTCACAGGTCCTGAGTGCCGAATATAGGTCTAAATTTGAAGCCCTTCACCAGCACACAGTTACGTCTCTGTATGAGTGAAGAATTATCGAATGAGGCGTTAAACAATATACAATCAATCAATCAATCGGTCACAGGGCATAAAAATTAAAAACCGCTGGGCCAGAAAAGATGAATCTATGCAAAGCTACTGCCTGGGTATATTTTTGCGCATATAAACAAAGGTTAGCAAGAGTTGAACGTGATTAGTGACAATGCATTCCTTGTGACATTACCTTTTTGAATATGAAATTATTTTATTTGACCTCATGACTGAATAAATATGTCTGACCTTGATCTTTGAGTTTGAACTAATTTTAAATAAAACTCTAACCATAGTTATGATATTTGAGTGATATATCAATTATGATTGGCATTTTTATAGCTTACAGTGTATGCTGATGGTAAAAAAGTTGCTCAACTTTGAAGTCTAATCAAAAACAAATATTGATAATGCATGAGTCAGATATTTTTTTTTTATTTTATATAAAATATTAAAAAAAAATAAATAAATACATGTATATCACAGATTTCAAGTTGAAAAATAAACAGAGAACACATCGGCAGTTCTTGGAGGTAAAATTATACTGTCCCTCTTATATATCAATATTACACTAATATACAATTATTGCTTTCTTTTTTAATAACATGAACCAAAACTAGAGGTACTGTAAGCAATGAGCTCACTAAATGATACTCGCACCTCCCACATGAATATAATGGCAGTGTCTATGTTTTGCTATGGAAAACCCAAAATATGTGTCGGATCAAAGAGTAACATAAGAGGTGCACAATGGCAATTTGTAACAAAGATTCTGTGAAAGTTTCATCAAATTTCATTCAGTGGTATGAGAGGAGTTTCGGATAAGAGATGGGTACCCCAAAGCGTAACAGACAGACGTACAGCTAGACGGACAGACATAACGATTACTATATATCCTCCCGCTTTTCAAGCGGGGGGTATAATAAATACAATTGGATATATCTGAAAGTGCATAAAGAATCGTTCACCCAATATTTGATTGGTCAAAAGACGAAGCTTAGATGACTTCGTCACGACAAAGACGGTTCACAGTCAAATCTGTTTCCATTTCTTCAGTAAACTTCAGGAATATTAGTGTTGTTCTTCCCACACATATGATCAATGTTTTTGGATTTTGCGACACTGTTTGCGTCGTACTCAGTCAATACAAAAGGCCAGTGACATTCTTTTTATAGCGAGTTGTAAATTTGTTCTCAGATATGATTGATATATTTAATGTTTCTTTATTTAGATTCAGATACATGGTTTTTCGTTGCTTTTAATGAATTGTACATGATGATGCTTGTGAGTGTTGTAAAACAACTTTATTTCCCGCAGTTGTCAATTTGTTGTTTTTCGGTTCTTTCTCTGAATGATTCTTAAACTCTTCCAATGTCTTCAGAATGTCATCACTTTTTTGCATGCAAAGAATTTTAGTCTTATCATTTGCTCTGTCCGCTAACCACAACCTATCGTTGCAATCAATGCACATAGCCGTGGGACTATTCAGGTATTCGGATTCAATATGGCAGATGTATTGTCCATCGTCGTTGATGACATGAATGTTTGCTGTTATCTGAGAAACGTCTAGTAAAAGAAGAAAGCCTTCACTATCAGCACAAACATTTTGTGGGTTAAACTTGTGGCTCGGTAGGTCTCTTTCGTATGTAAACCTAAATTTTCCCCATTTATCAACTACGATTAAAAGTTTCTTTGCTGTATCCGTTACACACAAATCTGCATTCTTATTATTTTCTGCAATGAATCTTGGATCCTGAAAGAGAGATTGATTTTCATGGAATTCAATGCTTTTCACCTTCCTGAAAGACTTTATGAGATTATCAGGTACTTCGAAAGTAGAAACCTTTGCGCGTCGTTCTTTATTTTTTTCAGGATATGAACGAAGACAAACGTGCATTTTTTCTTGCGTAATTGTAATTCCTCTGGAATACCATTTTCCTGTAGACATTATAGTCCTTACTTCATCCGTAGACTCGGAAGTGGATATTTCAATCGTTTTATTTTCGGGGTTACCATAAATAACTCCTCCGGTACAATATGCAGAAAACAGGGGTTTCTTACATTTTGTCCCAAACTCGGTCTGAATCTCGCCATCATGATCGATTTTTGAAATTTTACCTCTTCCTTGCTCTGTAACAAACAAGGTATTTCCATCTTTACTGCAAGTCATGTCTTGTATCTTATTATTGAAATGCTTTGATTCTACCTCGTGTACGTCACAACTATTCATATTACTGGTTGACACAGTTATGTTCGCAAAGTTACTCAAGAATTCCGTGTTAATGTCTGAAGTGGAGAGACTTATTCTTGGTATTTTCAAGTCTGTTTTTTCAGGGAGACACTCGATGTCCTCGGGTTCAGGTAACAGTTCAGGATTATGTAATGCTTCAATGTCGAGAAGAATTTCTCTTTTCTCTTCTATTTTTCTTTCTATGTCATTACATTTTTCTCTTGTTTTTGTAAGAGAATTTTTAATCGGCTTTTCAGAACTCCGTTTTGCTTTATTTAGACGAGACAACATTTCACTTTTCCACTGTTTCACTACATCCCATAGCTTATCTGCAAAATTATAAATTTCACTTTTTACTATCTTATGATTGCGCTCCAAATTGTCCATACAATTGTGAAAATAATGGCAGTTCTCCTCTAATTGATGTAGTAAAAAAGTAAGATTTTCACGTGATTTGAGAATTTGATTTATTTTTATCTTCAGAAGTTCAATTATTTGTAAAGTCTTATGGGATCTACATCTACGCCTTTCACATTTCTTACACACAGATTTGTTGCATTTTTTACAGTAGGCTGTACTTGGAATGTTTGTGTGAATTTCACATGTCCGTCTTTGAACAATGCCTTGATTCTTGTCCCGGTAACATACAACATTGTGGCCTTTGTCAGTCTTTGCATTTCGAGTAAGATGGGGCAACTTGCATTCTTCGCATAAATTATCCTCACAGTAGGTACAGTAATAACTAAGCGATTCCTTAAAACAGCAACTGCACTTTTTTATTCTGCATGATTCCAATTCTTTGCCTGAGAGCCTGAGAAAAATCGTTGAAATTGTACAGCATACATTTTGATAATTTGCTTAATCCAAAATGATAAAACATATGTAGAATAAAATTTACGAAATACATGTCATGATGTGCATATGATTTTGTTGTTTTTTTATCTCTTCAAAAGGCATTCATCATCAACTTTTAATGTTTTCCATAAATAAATTTACCTTTCATCCAAAGTGTTTTCCTCCATGTCTTTTGAAGGATAGTGACTTCTTACAGTGAAAAATCTACAATACCATGAGATTTTTTTGTGAAAATATGGCGAGTTGAGACCCAAGGCTTTAGAACACTCGCAGATACATGTATACTCACTTTTTCATTAATCATTTGAAAAATCATTTTGTCAAAAACTTTCTGATTGTACATACTAAGTATGAATACGCTAAGGCTCATTTTAAAAAATGCTTGAGTTTCTGAATGACAAAAACATGATGTTTTTGGAGACCGGGTCTTTAAACAATCAGTTTCTATTTCTTAGGGTACCAGTTTCGCCCCATTATGAGCAGACCTATTTGTGTATTCATATGAAGTAGAATTTATTCAAAACCTTCTACATGAGAGGAATAAATCACATGCATTGGCCTTCAATTAGACATTTAGATTCATCGGCATACATGTATTATCAAATAACATTAGTACTTTCATTCATATGTCGACTCTCTATATTATATACCAGTGAACTAAAAAGATACAAGAGAGTCTGACGCACCTGATTCATATTTTGATATTTTGAAGAAAAAAAAAGGGTTATTAAAAGGTAACTGCAACCAGGCTTTAGGTAAATGTGATGACTACAACTTTTCAACCGCCAACGTCCATTACTTATGGACTTATGGAGTAACACACCATAACTGCATAATGGGATTAGTCTCTCATATGGAACGCCGTCACTGCCTTATAGCAGAACACTAATATTGTATTGTGTCAACCTTCCATTACATTATGTCAACTCTTTATGACATTAACCCACCCTACCATTGCATTGTGTCAACCTTCCGTTACATGATGTCAACTCTTTATGACATTAACCAACACTACTATTGTATTGTGTCAACTTTGCATTACATGATGTCAACTCTTTATGACATTAACCCACACTACTATTGCATTGTGTCAACTTTGCATTACATGATGCAAACTCTTTATGACATTAATCTACATGTACACTACTTTTCCATTATGTCAACCTTCCGTTACATTATGTCAACTCTTTATGACATTAACCCACACTACTATTGCATTGTGTCAACCTTCTGTTACATGATGTCAACTCTTTATGACATTTACTCACAATACTATTGCATTGTGTCAACTTTGCATTACATGATGTCAACTCTTTATGACATTAACCCACATTACTATTGCATTGTGTCAACCTTGCATTAGATGATGTCAACTCTTTATGATATTAACCCACACTACTATTACATCGTGTTAACTTTCTTTTACATGATGTCAACTCTTTATGACATTTACACATAGTACAATTATATTTCGTCAACTTGCATTTCGTTGTGTTTACTTTTCATGAGATCTTAGTTTTTATTAACTAATGTGAAAAGCTTATGCCATACTGTGCGTACTCTTCTACATTATGTCGATTCACTATTACGTTATGCGAACACGGGTATCCTCGGCCTTTATATTAGCATAGCGTTATTTCCGCGTTCCGCAAGCGCAAAAAATGGCGGGAGAGAAAACTGTCGTAGAAGTGATTCTCAGCGATTTGGGATCTTTAAATGAAAACTTTAAGCGACAAATAATGGACAATCTTGAAACGTGCAAAGCCTTAACACTGCGACCGTGAATTAAAGTCACGTCGAAATTCAAGGGTGTTAATTTACTTTAATCTCATAGTTAAATAAATCAAATATTAGGAGTCGTGCAGCAATCATTTTTTTCTTTTTATTTTGATTTTTTTAAAAATAAAAGTCTTAAATTTTGTAGGACATTGCATTAGTTTCACAATAAGCTTAGCTGAATTAAGTTGAAAACTTTTTTCTATGAAACTATAAAGCCTGAGAGCTTCTCCGCTTTCCCCCTTGGTCTCCAACCATATACCGTCCCCCTTCCTTGTTCAAGATTCCCATATCCGCCACTGATATGTGCCCATGCATGCTTACTAAGGCATATTCAATTGATTTAGATGAGCGACTGGTAGACTTTTGTAATAGACTTCTGGCTCTGGAATGATTAAAAAAAAATACTAACTCCAATGACGTAGCATCTTTTTTTGAAAGAGGAGGTCAGCCAGAAAAAAAATCATTTACCCGAAAAAACTTGACAAGCCAAGAAAAAAAATGTCCAAGCCCGGAAATCCTTTTTCGGGGAGAGGCGTCCAACTTCGGTCAGTCCTATTTTTTTCCAGATATATAACATTACCCTCAGTGGATTATACTTCAACAAAAAGTGGGGATGGGGGCTGTACTGTTTCAATGAACATTGCATTTTCTATAGTAAAGTTATGTCTGGGAAAAGAGGGGGTTGATATCAATTGCCTGTAATTTGTCCTAATCAATCAGGACCCCCCCCCCCCTTCTTACCAGTCATTAAAACACTGTCATCAACATTCATTATATACTAGATAGACATGTACAGCTTTGAGATAATGTAAATGTTTTTTAACATCAGGTAATGAACTTTTGGAATCAACATGATAAAGAATTAACACAATATAAAGATATTTTTAAATCACACAAGAAAGAGTTGACATAACGTAATCATATATCCACATCAAGGAATGGAGTTTTGATATAATGTAATAAAGTGTTGATATAATATAAAGATATGTTCACATTATGTTATACACATTTTACACCACGTAATAAAGCACTGACATAAAGGTAAGATGTGTTCACCTCACATCATGATGCCCTCGCCGTAAAATAAAGATAAATCCATATCACGTAATAATGCCTTGATATAATAGAAATATACACTCTCAAAAAGGAATGGGCTTTTGTTAATGTAATGATAAGTTTAATTATAAAACACAATTTACTTGACGTAATACAATTTTGACCTCACATATTAAAGAAATGAAATGATGTAAAGAAAAATTCACAGGTGCTTGAGGACAGGACCCCCCCCCCCCCCCCCATATAGACCCCCGGGCCTGTTCGACTTTTTTCACATAAATTATATATGGATGACACATTTGTGATAGAATCTATCCTATCAATTCAGAAAATTTGCTTAAACTTACATTTTATAAAAATATCTACCCTCTCTCTATATAAATTTTTATATAGAGAATGTAGGGTAGATTTAATAGAACGTTTGTTTTAGGTAATTTTTCGATTTGCTGGTATAGATCTTATCACAAATATGGCAATGAAAGATTTTTTATGAGAAAAAAATCGAAAAAGCCCAGGGGTCTATATCGAAAGGGGGGGGGGGGTCCTGTCCTCAAGCACCTGTGGAAAAATTCATTTCACGCAATAAAGTTTTAACACAATGTAAACACATTATCACTTCACAAAATGAATTTTTTACTTCAAGTTATGAAGTGCTGACATAATGAAAGGATGTATTTACTTCCTGTAATGCAGCATTGACATGATGTTAAGATATATTTACATCATCTCATAAGAAATGGACATAACGTAAAGATATGTTCACATCACGTAATGGTAAATTGACATAATAAATGCATAGTTGTATGCTATAAGGCAGTGATGGCGTTCCATACTCTCAGTTGATTCGAAGAGCAAGATCTAAAATGAGACAAGCTATTGACAAACAAGTTGATGAAATAGTCTGTTTGAAGTCCTCATTAGGCAAGGTTTATGGTCGATAGAATAACCTTGTCATCAAATACAACCTAGTATCTAATTATTAACCATTATTCACACCAATTAACACGGAGTACCACATACATGTACCTCCCAATAAAGACAGATATTTACAATTTTTGACAAAATGCACTGGCAAACTGTTTATTACTATTCTCTTAACCAGTTTATTTAAACAAGCCTGCATGCAGGTCTGTAGACAAAAAAAATCGGTACTTTATGCATTAAATAAGCCAAATCTGAATGTAAGATTTTAAAGTTGTAGATAATAAATTTAAGTTCAAAATGCAAATCTGAAAAAAATTAAACAAATTCAAACAAATAAATTGTAGAAAAAAAACATTGATTCTGAATTCTGACTTTTTCTCAGACATTGTTTTCTCCTACATAAATCGGTAGGCCATCTTTTAAAATGCAAACACATCCTTTGTGGGGGTACAATACTTAAATAATGTTAGGATCAAAATGAAAATCCGAAAAATTTAGACACATAACACAGAAAATAACAAGGAACATTGATGAATTTGATTTCTGGCTTTTTCTCGGAAATTGGTCTTTCCAATAGATCATTTTTAAAGTCCAATAATTCCTTAATATTATCAAAGTTTACCTATAAAATAATCGAAACAAATATATGATCATATATTTTTTTAAAAATTAAAAATGAAGATAAATGCCGAAAGAAAATATAATTGAAAACGAAAGTAGATACATTATTAAAAATGAATTAAAATATCTTGAATTACGTATCTTACCATAATTATAGACATTTCTATTCTCAACTGTTTAATTCGTTTTTCTTTAAAAAAAAAAATCTGAATGATACTTAGTATATTGTTTCTTCTCTATCGGATTTGTCTTACCAGTATTGGGGAGTTTCCGTTCCGTGAATATTGACCTCAATGTTCCAATGATAACACTTGGTGGGATTTAATTTTCAATTCGAGAAAGAATACTTGTTTGTTGCACTTATCGGTAGCTTTTCATCAAAGGAAAATTCATTCTGCATAAAATCTTTGACATTGGTAATAACTACAATGTACACTCTAATCACTGAACCTAACTCTTTTTTATCATCCAATCAGCATTAGCTATAAATTTGTTGTTATATATTACATCATGAATTATAAATAAATATTTTTTGCACGTACATATAACCCCACAAATGCCTGCGTAAATAGCTTAAGTTCATGCTCACTCCAGTTATAAGATGTTGTCATTAACATTTGTATTGCAATCGTTTAATTTAAATAAAATAAAGAAGTCTAGATTCATATTCGTTTTCGATAAACGGTCCTGAAATATAACGGTGACGGATCTAAGATTTATACCTACCTGACAATTAATGAACTGTACAATCATTTAAGGTAATGATAAATCTTATCCTCGGGTTCTGAAATTGAAAATGTTTATGAAATCTTATTTCAAAATGTACAGCTACAATATATGTATTTACCCATGATATATCTTCAAAGCTCATCACTATATAGCTAATCATATTATATTGGTGATGTTATCAAATCTTAATCTACTTGTTTTTAGGATATTAATACAAATGAAAGCACCAGTTACGTAATTTTTAATTGTAAATTGATCGACAAATGTATTTTGGAATAACAGTATAATAGGTATCCAGACATTTGGGGGGAAATACATGCTTTAAATAGTTATATGATAATTTAGTTTTTTTCCTCCATCATTATACTGTAAACATGGTTATTTTATAACACTTGTATTACATAACACTTGTGGACAATTTTGCCTCGATTCAAATTCGCCCTGTCATAGTTTTGTTTATGAAATTATACAGTATTCTTTGAATTCGCCCCGTTTTAAATTCGCCCAAATGAGGGTAGCGCGAACTTGAAAATAAAACGGGACGGAAATTTCCCTGTATATAGTATTATGCATAGTGTAAATATCATGTTCTATCATCGGAAGACTTTTGATTTCGTATCATGGCTAACAAGTTTGGGTAGAGTTGATGGAAATTTGATTTATCTAAAGATGTATTTATTTTATTCTTTTATGGGGTATGAAATTTAAATTACAGTTTTTACAATACAGTTTTTTTAAATGCCAGAGAACCTTGAATCATATTGTTTTGATGAAATAAAAAGTGTTGCACGAAAGATTTGAATTTTAAGCCTAATGTTGAGACTTCTTTAATTAAGGTATTCTATCCCTAATAGCAACAGATTCTTTAAAACTGAATACATAACAGATGTTTAGATGAGGGATATTCAGTTTATTTAGACATAATTCCCATTTATGACTATAAGCATGTAAGGGTGCATAGTGTCCTATGACCTTTAATTGTTGTAAAAGATACATGTATCTCCCTCTGTTTTTAATTAATAAAATAATTATCTGGTAAAAAAAAATTAATTTCACAAGTCATTACGTTTATGATGTTTCAATGCATCTTCCACCACAGTATTTTATGATATTTTTTATAATTTGAATGTTTATTTAATTAAAAAAATCGTTTTCCCATATTCTTCAATATAATCTTTGTTAATTAACTACTGCTTATGGTTATCCTTCCTGACTGAAGAGCGGATATCATTACATGTGTAATAGATGAAACACAGAGTAAAATGGGTGAATACATACTTGATCATGGAGTACCGTTAGAATTTTTTTTTTAATCTGAATGTTTTCATTTTTAAACACTAGTACTGTGAGTATTCAATATTTCATATTACAATGTATATATATACGACGTCCCTGTACAATACATTTGTAGTTTACCAGAAAGAAAACTTTTTCAAAGTCCGGGTCAATGGTGAAAGCATGTTAGCAGTAAACGTTCCAAACATCGAGTCAATAGAATCTAAATAAACAACAAAATATATGTAAACATAAAAATAAGATTTTAATAAACTTTGATAAGAAAATATCACAGATTACATGTAGCTTCTTTTTTCAGATACATGAAAAAGTCAGGTTTATTCGTTTAATTCCTGTGGAAAATTTTCCTTATTCTCTGGCACAGTCCAACTTTCTCGGTTTTCTTGGTTTTCACTTTTTTCTAAAAATAAAAAGAATGAAAATCTTCAAATCTAATACTAGTATTCGGTCACAGATAGGACATTCAAACAGAGATGACTTTTATAATTATAAAGTATTCGGGAACTTGTACTCACTGGACAACAACATGCTCCACAAAGGAATAGTCGCATCAGTGGATGTCTGGTGAAATAGTCGTTTTCAAGGTCACTTTCAGACTTTGATTTGTGGGCCTGGCACTCGATTTACTGAAAAAAAATTATTATTGCAAAATATTTTAGGGGAAAATAATGATAATGTTATTTATAGTAAATAGACATGTTAATTTAAAACATATACAAAAAATACTCCGCATTTATGTTCTCTTTGTTCTCTTCAATGTTCAAAACTTTTTAATATATCATAGGGAAAAATACTGTGCTGTATGGACAAACAGCAAAACTGTGAATTACTTTTTTCCTCACCTCCGTTGACAAAAGAGTGACCTCCGTGTCAATGACCTCCAATCCAAATATATTCCTGTAACAGAAATTAACCGTGTTAATTTCAGTATCAGAAATAATAATTCAGATTTTTGAATTACAGATTACGGAAGTAAATATTTTATTAATCTGTTTAAGTGTTTGTAATATTAACACATTAAATATTCTTACTTTGTTCGACTCTCGTCGCTGCATGTCGGAATATTTCCGTCCCTCGTGGTGGTGTTCGAATTTCCGGCGAAAATTTGAGCTCTATAATTAGAAAGAGGTATTTATCAATTTTAAAAATTCTCAAACATAATTCATTAAGTGGGATCATTTTACATCTACTAAAGATTTTTATTAAAAAGATATTATCTAACCTGTGACCCTTTGGGTACTTTTGTACCACTGTTTGTTCCACTGGTTTGGGTTTCAGCTGTGTTTATCGCTGTTCTGTCGTCTTCGTCCGATCCACTGGGAAGGTACTGGGCGTGTATCTCTCCTATAACAATCCCAGATTTTGCATCAAAAATGGGCGTCAGTCTCTTCATATGTTGTATCACAGAGTTGTCGATTTGGGGTTCCTCTTCCGATATTTCGGGTAATCCATTACCGCTTGCGCTGGCTTCAGTCCCTTGAATTTCGAGCTCTTCTCCCAGTTCCAGTAACTGACTTGGTTTCTTTGACTCCAAGAAGTTTTTGCTTTCCTCCTTCAATTGCAAATGCATGTTTTAGAAACAATAAGAATGCTATATAAATGCACTAGTACCCGGTATAATAATAACGTTTGTCGAAGATTCATAGTATCAGTATTACTATATTTTGCATTGTAAGATATTTGATTTTTGATTTTTTCCTACCTTAGAATTGGTCATTTCTTTTGTTGAGGATTTAATTGCTACCGGGACATCTACTTTACTCTGAAATACAACGGAGAGATTTTTTTTTTAAGATTGCAAGCATAAAAGAAGATTTTTTAAATACAATTTTAAAGTCATATTACATGTACATGTAGTTATATTCTGAAAGGGGAACTTTTACCAAGTACGAGGTTTTAGATTTATAAGTTGTGATTTTTTTTTTACAATAATTCATATCTGTGTAGCTGTTTCTTTAAAAATTCTTCAAATAAATTATTTCAATAATTATTTTGTACAGTAGTTACTGTCGTCGATATCACTGTAGAATAGTATTTAAATTAATTGATGCAAAAGAAAATGCACTAGGTATAGTTTATGTACAACAATTTGTTTGTCATAATTTCCTAACCTGAGTTTGTTTAAAGTATCTACTCACCTGATTATGAATATCCATTGCTTCAAAGCACACGCTTTTGCTTCTGATGTAAACAATATTCTGACATTTGTTGCTAATAGTCTAAGGAATAATGACGTCATAATTGTCATTGTGACGTTGCAGTTGTCTGTGACGTTTGGGCTTAAAAGTATTTCATTTTGCTAACCTTTCAAATTATTATTATAAGTCAGGCTTCGTCCGTTATGTAAAGTATACCAAGTTTCCAACTATCGTATTATACTAACTATATGCAACTTGATTCCTTAAAATTAAAAATATCAGTCATAAACTCGGGCACGATATACTTATCATTATTCCTTAAAATTAAAAAATATCAGTCATAAATCGGGCGATATACTTATCATTATAAATCGGGCTCGAAGTTAAAAAAAAATAAAAGGTCTTTCGTGTACACCCCTGTGCTGTGTATAGATAATTTGTAGTTCTACTATTTTCATGACTTCAAAATGATACACAGTTTATTTATTATCAACGGTAGTGGGTGAGTACACTAGATAACATTACCATGATTTTTAATTCTCGTCCCACTGATGAGATTTATGTCTTTTAATGAAAATGCAGGGGTTGGCATCTTTGATTTCAAAAATTTGCTTGGGGAAACCTGGTAGTACGATTACCCCCTCCCCCAACATAAGCAGAAGAGGGAACCCCCTCCAGCATCTACCCCTCTTATTGCCGTGTGACACAGTCAGCTGTCAAAAGCTGCTGGATACCTAGTTTAAGAACGGGGCAAGTAAGAATTCAAAGTTGCTTTCCTAACAGGTTATTTTGTGTTCAAAGTCAGTGTCTGCACTTGCAATACTTGTTTCAGATGCTGAATTTTATTCGACATGCTCATTTTCCACTGAGTGACTGGATTACAGAAATGTAAATGCAATATCAATAATCATGGATGATGCATATAATATGTATAATAATACTTTATGTAAACTGGGCTTGGATGCTGAAACTTATCAGATGTTTGATTAAAAAAGATTTTTGTGCAACCCAGTTATTCCCAATTAACCACTGTTAACTTAAAAAACTTACCCAGACTAAACTTGCTTAAATGTTGCACCTATAGGGATGCAAACTACCAGAATGTTTGTAAGCGTTGTTTTTCCCTTTATTGCTATGTAAAGCCTACTAAAGGGTTAGAGATCAATTGTAATAGGCTTTAGACTGAGATTTATGAACAAACACTCTGTGGACCGTACAGCAATTAAATTATAATTTTTATTCCAATTTTTTGTCAATTGGAAGTGGTCGGCAGTTGGTTCCTAGGGAAAACAC